AAAAAAAAAAAAAAAAAAAAAAAAAAAAAAAAAAAAAAAAAAAAAAAAAAAAAAAAAAAAAAAAAAAAAAAAAAAAGTAAGAACTAAAAAGAAACACTGAAAGACAGTCAATATAACAAAGAAAAAGACTAACATTACCTAATTAACTCTGAAGCGTCTAAACCTGACATTAAATCAAATTCAGTCCAGGTCGTAGGTATCCTGGCATCATCAAAAAAAAAAAAAAAAAAAAAAAAGAGAGAGAGAAAGATAATAATAAAATAAAAATATATATATAGAAAAAAAAAATAGATCAGCAACAATATACAATCCTGAGGAATTTCATTATACACAGATAGTATCTACCCGATTACAGTAAAAATCAATGCCGAAGATTAGAATCCCAAGGTAAATTCTACATCGTAAAGGAAGGATTACTTTATAAAAAAAATCGGAAGCAACAAAAATAGTCCATTAAAAGTATTAAGAGAGGGTGAACTTGAATTAATACTTGCCTTGGTTCACGATCATCCAACGAGATGATATTTTGAGACCGAAATAATGTTCAATAAGTTGCGCAACTGTTACTACTGGCCTCAGATGTATCACGATATCAGAGAATATGTTAAAACATATGATAATTGCCAAAAACAAAGCAATCACAAGTCAAAGGAGTTATTACATCCAATATTTGCAATAGCCCCATTTCATAGAATAGGTATAGACATAGTCGGCCCTTTACCAGTAACACCTAGATTAAATAGATATATTGTAGTGGCCACTGATTATATGACAAAATGGCCAGAAGCATGTGCCATTCCTAGAGAAACGGCAGAAGAAGTGGTGAAGTTCATTTATGAAGAGATAGTATGTAGACATGGATGCCCAAATTTCATACTAATTGATCATAGATCTCATTTTCAAATCTTCTCATTAATAAATTACTTGCGGCTTTGTTAGTTAAGCATCATTATTCAACTCCATACCATCCTCAGACTAACGGACTTGTTAAGTGTTTCAATAAGACCTTATGTAACACAATTTCACGATTAGTATTAAATACAACAGATTGGGATCTACTTATCTCACCAATACTGTTTGCATATCAGACGGCAAAACAAGCCTCCACCCACGAAACACCGTTTTACTTAGTATATGGTAGACAGGCTCAATTATCTGTACATCCTAATGCATCTGACGAATTATTGAATGGGACGATCCTTCAAAGAATATATGAGATCAACCATGATCTCTCAGAAGCCCGTGAACAAGAGTTGCGCCAAATTCTAGAAACCCAGAAAAAGCAGAAGGAGTGACACGATCAACAGATAAAAGCCACACCTGATTTTTCGATTGGAGACAAAGTGTTAGTTTATAATTTACAAATAATAGGTATGCGTAGTCATAAATTTTGACCAAAATAGAATGGCCCATATTATATACATACAACCCTCACGAATGGCGCGTACAAGTTGCAGGAATTAAGTGGAAAAGTATTAAAAATGCCTGTTAATAAGAGGCAATTGAAATTGTATCATGAACGAAATATATAAAAGGGCCCAAAATTTTGAAAAAAAAAAAAAAAAGGCTACCGATAAAGACTTGATACATGAAGACCTCTTATCAACTGTTCCCGAATATGTAATCCCTAAACTCTGTCCTTATAATATGAACCAAGATTTGACATCGCAGATTGCTTTAACATACGACCAGATCACAGAGGCAAAAAACTGTGGTGACCGAACTGCCATTCTTGTCTATGCGTACTATCTTGGCGAACATTTAAGTACTATAACTCCAACCGAAAGGATGATACTCCAACGTGAATGTCTTTCGCTCTACTATGTTAAAGTATCCTTGAGAATCTATTACTTGTTTAAAGCTCACGGAATAGAACAGATCTATCGAACCAACCACACCACACTTACTAAAATCAAAGCACTCAAGACTCACGAATTCAATCAATTAGTTTAACTTACTCCCATGGAATGAGTTCTCTTTAGTGGAGGAGAACTGTAAATAGCAAGATCGTCCTTTCCAAAAAAAGGTAGTGCTGTGGTAATTTGGTTGTATAATTCCCAGAATTCCTGGAATTCCTAAAATTCGTAGAATTCAAAGAATAGTTGGAATAGCTAGAATAGCAAGAATAACTAGAATAGCTGGAATAATTAAAATAGCTGGAATAATTAGAATTCACGTTATTCCTGTATATATAAAAATTATTATAAAAGTGGAGGTTCTTTCAAAAAATAAAACATAACTTTCTGAAGTTCAAATTGAATAGTTCCAAATAAACCTTCGAAATTTGAGTAGAAGCATTTGTCTATAAACTATTGTGCCCTTTTCGTTAAAAATCATTCGTCGATTTCATAAATTATTGTCCATGTGCCCATCTTAAATTGTATTGTCGAAATTAGTAAAAGAAATCCATTGTATTAGTAATCTACTCCTTATATATTAAAATTGATCCTGATTTAGTCTGTGATCAATGTCATTTTACCTGATTCGTGATCCTGTAATACTGTGACCTTGTATCACATTTTCGATTGGTGAGCCTCAATCACGAGAATCCGCCGCAGTACCTTCGAAGAAGAAATCCTAATTAATAAAGCGTTAAAGAAAGTAGAATACTAAATAAGAAAATAAGGAAATACTTATTCAAGTTCAACACTATCTCTACTAAATCAAATAACCCTGGTTACTCAGACCAAGTCTTTCTACGCCTCGATCGTTGCCTTACTAATATTGGGGTTTGGTTAAAGTAGCTCTAGTGTTTTGGTTAAAGTATTCAATTTGCTATTAATATTTTGGTGTATTGAGTGGTTATATATCAGCCCAGTAAATTTTCCGATGCAGCCCACACTTATTTATTCTTTTACAACATACGTACGTTGAATATATGTAGTGTTAAACAACTATACAGGTTTTTAACGAATGTAATAATGTGATATTATTGATACTACCCACCCACTTATATCTTTAACTATAATAATAACAGATTAACAAATAGAATCGAGTGCACTAATAATATAATAACCAGAGAATTAATTCCATATATGCAGAATTAATTTCACAATTGTTTAGTAATTTACAAAGGTGTAGAGCTTAGAATTGATCACTGTAGAATTACTGTATTATTAAATTATTCAATTTATATCTTCATGAAATCACTAAACGATTGTGAAATTAAACTTCTGCATCACTAATCCTAACAATGATATGGCGAATTCATATTAAAAATGTATAAATTGAAAATGTATAAACTTTGTCTTTAACTATTGATATTAATAAGTAATACTTACTCATATTAAATCTTGAGTTCCATTCTGTACATGAACTATTCGTAGCATTTGTTCACGAACTGTTATACTACCCCTAGTTTTATTGTCAAGCTGTCTAGTGTTTTTAATTCTTTAAAGCTAAGTTCAACTAGCAAAAGTTTTAAAGAAGTAAAAGTAATATTATTGTAAAGAAATTCTAATAGTAACTTTACTACATATTTAATCTATAAAATGAATTAAATGATTGGCCAGTTAAATGTCATAAATCAAGGGGTGTGGCGACTTAGTGAAGTGGTGAAGTTGTTGCACCCCCAAGCAGCAGGACAAGAGTTCAAATCCCACTGGTGACGAAATTCGAATTTAAGGAATGTGTTACAGCAGACTGTGTGTAATCTGATGGATCATCAGATCTGTAGCCTTGGTCACATCAGCTTGTACTGGAAGAACACGAAACTATAGTATGACGCAAAAGTTACACGAAACCTGAGTAAATATTTGTGTAAATCCAAGGGCTGGGGCACACAGAATCCTGCTTAGCAAGTCCTGAGTAGAGAGGTAGCACAGATCTTCGACGGTACTATGTAAAGGATGATCATCGGTGATCGGATACCGGCAGTAAACTGGACGAGGACCAGGTGTTTGGCAAGACACTAATACCAACCAGGCCGCGAGTATACGGGAGTTGTCCTGTATAAACAAGAAAAAAGGATTCAATCAGAATACCAAGCAGACGCCCACTGGTCCCTCCCCAGGCTATCTGGATTGGGAGTTTGGGATACTGTTGGTGGAGGAAAGTCGGTGCTAGTCCGTAAAGTGTGTGCTGGGGTTTGGGTGAACTTTGCAAGGGCAAGGAGTAGGTGACGGTAGCGGAGAGATACCACAAGTACTTGGTTTCAGCCTAGGCGTAAATTACAAAAAATCTAGGTGATACATGTGTGGGATATGACTCTAGTAGGTTTACCACGAGGATAAAGTAGTCCTAAGGGGCCTTAGCGGCAGTTCTTCTTTGGGGAGAATATCCAATGGCGCCAAGTTGATCAGAGAGTTTAATTGGGTAACTCAAGTAATAGTGGGTTATAGATATGGCATCTAGTGTAGTACTTAGTAATAGGGAACTAGACGCTCAAAAGGTGTAGATATGGCTAGTATGTATCCTCGTTAATGTAACAAAGTCAGGGGTGGTCCTGTGGTTGCTCTGACATTCGCAATCGAAGTTAATAAACGAGCCAGACCCCCAAGTGGTCACCTTAACATTAAAAAAAAAAAAAAAAAATGTCATAAATCATCGAATTTGAACTGTCTAAACTTTTATGCTGATAAAAATGTATTAACTTTAAGTTCTTTCATTCTGCTAGTTTTGTATGTGCTAATTCAGAGATAAATTGTTATAATAATACATTGATGTAAATATAATACCACTAGAGTTAATATATATAAATGAACAGAGCAAATTCTCAAACATACAGTATATAGTATGAATATTTTTTTTCAGCATTATAGATGTATTACACTAGTTGGTATCTTTGTTTTCACCACACCTTCTTCGATTATAACCCAAGCTGTTACAAATTCCACACCGCGATTGTTGTCTTTTTTTTTTGGTGGTTCATCTGCTCGCCGTCTTCTATCAGTCCCTTTTGGCCTTCCTTTTGCTTTACGTTTACGGGGATTCACCAAGTCTTTAGGATCAATGTTTTCTTTATCCGATTCACTACAACTTTCTTCCACATCAGGTTGTCCATTAGGTTGTTTATCAGGTTGTTCATTTGGTTGGTCTGTTTGATGCCCCTTCAAATATTTATTTAAAATCTCAATAAAATTACGATCATGATTTCGAACTGCTAGAAGTGTAGCTGCTCGTGCCTTTCCCCATATTTCCCCATATAATCGGTGCTCTTTGATTATTTTTTGTTTAATATCTTGGGTTACATCTGAATGAACATGACTTAGTGCATTAAGGCTGTTTGTATTGATACTGGCTTGATTAATCGAAATAGTAGCCGATAAGTCTTTTTCAAATTTCAGCACGACTACAAAGAGTTCACGTGATTGATCGTTATGTACTTCATTGTACCAGCAAGAGTGTATCAATTGAATATGAAAGGTTGCATTTTTTGTGTATAGCATAACTTGGAAGAAATGATGGCAGACAAATCCACGGTTGGAATTCCCAAAGCATGAGCACAAATGAAGACCATTTTGCAATAAAATAACAAAGTGGCGTGTATCTTTTTCTGTGACATGCTGTATAGTCCACATTTCTAAAACATTATTAGAATTAATAAGATCGAGTAAAGTCTTTGCAGTAATTGTGATATAGTTTCCGCTTAATAGATTAGAATTATTAAGGTTGATCTATGTACATACAAAATATTCAAAATGTTAGTAAATCATATAGTTAATAAACAAGCATATGTTTCTTACTAAATTAAAAATCTGCATTTCATTTTCAGTAACATGATTGGCATGATAATGAAGGGTTTGGACTATTTGATCTTCTTGAATTTTTCGTGTCTCTTCTGTTAAATATGATTTCAATAGTTTGCAAACGTTTGGTAATATTGTATCTGCTGTTGAGTATAAGCCGATTTTAGGAACTGATGCATGAAAGAGTGTATATTCTGTTCTTTTGTCTTCTTCAGAAAGACATGTTGATAACACCTCCACAAGTTTCAGAATTGTTATGTTAGAATTATAAATTAAATGCTTGATCTTTGCATTGTAGCTTTCGACTCGAGAAGTCGATGACATCCCAGCCGTAAAAAAAGTTAGGACAAAAGCTCTTGCCCAAGTCTCTTTAGTTGAATAAAGAATCCATTGCAAGTAATTTACCACCTTATTATTATCGTATTTCTGAATCAAGTTTTTCCATCTATGTTCAAAAATAATCTCAACTGATGAACATTGCGCCTCATAAAATCTTTAATAAATTCGTCAAACTGACTCCCAAGACAACCTTTGAGATTTGAAAATAGATTTTGAGAAATATGGAACATACAATGAAGAGCTTTTGTTGTAGAGAACTCGTCACGAATTGCGGCAGAAACAGCCGGATCTGCGTCAGTAAAAATTACTTGTGGTACTGCATTACGTATAGCATTCTTTATCTGCTGAAAAATCCAACAATGAGATTCTATTGTCTCATTATCCACAAGTGCCTGCACCACCATCCTTGAATGCAAATGATTATCAACGATTAAAAATATTGAGAGAGCCATTTCATAACGATTAGTTGCTGCAGTGCAATCATTGAGAACAACATCATTAAATTTTAGCCAAAGTTCGATCTGCTCAGGGGACATATAAAACAGCCAGCGGAGACATTTGTACTAGGATCCCAATCTACTGCTACATACCAGCAGGGATTCTCTTCTTTCTTTTTCAGCAACTCCTTATACAAACAAGCTGCATCATTGGTTTGGTCACGTAACTTTGGACGGAAACGTTGTATTGTTCGTCGTAATACAGGCATGTAGATTTTGTGCATCGGATAATTTTCTTCCAAAGCTTTACGGATTTGTTGAGGACTGCAATTCATTTTTTTTACATAAAACTCAATGTCTTTAAGTATATTTTCAGGAAAATCAAGAGATTCTTGAAAAGAAAGGTATGATGGGTTAAGTTCATGATTTTCATGCTTGTCAATTATTTTTGTAACATAAACATGTTTGTGAGGATTCTCTTTTTCCGGGCATGAAATATTTATTTGCCAGGTGCATCCTATGCGTTTTGAAACACATTTATTTTGGTTCTTATATTTTGTTTTTTGCGGCCGACCATAATGTTCACACACAATCATATGCCGCCGAATATTACCATTTTCCAGCTTTTCTATACGAAGACATCTTGTCCCAAATTCTTATGAAAAAGGAGAAAAAATTTTTTGTTACTAATTTTATATTCCGTTAAAAAATTATTCAATGTATATATAAGTTATCCATACCTTTACGACGTGCATACTTCTCAACTTCCTCTACAGCACTGTCCCAATTATTAAAAACTTTCTGTATTTCATAGTCATCATCCATGCTGTCATTCATATTATTATGTCCGTCCCTATTATCATATTCATATTCATTTTCATTATCATACCCATATTCACGACCATCTTCAAACTCACCATCATACTCATTCCCACTATTATTTTCATATTCATTGACGTGTTTATTGTTATTAATTTCAATGTCAAAGGCTTTATCACAACTCATTATCAACAATATACGGATTCAACAATATTTATAGACAAGTGATTATGTAACAGTTCGTCACGCTGAATAATTGCTCAAAGTTTGTTTTTCAACTTCACGATCACCACTCTCACGTTTTTGTACTTCGTAAAATAAATTCAACTTTGTTAGATAATTATATACAGTATGAATAGCTTATTTGTGTGTAAAAATCAGGTGAATAATGAACCGAAAAAATAATATCGCGTACTGTATGTTCACTAGTGATGGGTTTTTTGCGTTTGCTTTACGTCGTTTTCACTTTTTTATATCTAGCTTTATTGGCAAACTCTCTTGCTAGATAAAACTGACAAAGTTCTTGAGGTTCTCAAACAAACGAAAGAAGTTCGATCACACTTCTGATCGAACCCTATTTATTTGTTTGTTTGTCATTATTACGCGTATGCATTAGATCATTGACCCCTATACTTCAATACGTATAAACTCGATTTTACTAATTTTATCTATCATTAACAATGTACGTTGTGATGGTTAAAAACGGTTTGACAATAAAAACTAAGCTAAAACGGGCTCGCCTTTTCTTTAAAATCAACACAGAATCTACTA